TATCGTGTTTACGGTGTTGCATATATGCTGAAAAAAGTGAAAAAAAAGCAAAACTTCCCTAAAAATGACCCGATCATGCTGATTTTCAAACTTGACCTGCGTATTATACAAATTCATCAGTTCTGTAAGTTTCAAACCAAAAGGTAAAACGGTTTTCCACTTATCGTGTTTACGGTGTTGCATATATGCTGAAAAAAGTGAAAAAACAGGATAACTTCCCTAAAAATGGCCCGATCATGCTGATTTTCGAACTTGACCTGAATATTATGAATATTCATCAGTTCTGTAAGTTTCAAGTCAAAACGTAAAACGGTTTTCCACTTATCGTGTTTACGGTAAAAGTGCACGCCAACGGCAACGGCAACGGCAACGGCGACGACAGACGCAGGTGATGGCTATATGTACAGACACATCTGTGTCTGTACATAAAAACAATAAAAACAAGTGAGTAATTTGTTGCAACAGCTTTGTTTTAAATCCAGGGGAAATAATTTAAAACATATTATAGAAAATCATTTTGATATCAACAATAAGAACATCCCAAATATTTATAAACACGGGTATCATAAAGTATTACATTATATATTTCTGATGAATGCAAGTAGCAAAATGCAATATCAACCTGTTCTTTATTCAAAGCACTTACTTTTCAGAACTAAATCTTTCTGTGCTCCATCCAATTCAAGGCATCTGAAATTAATAAGTTCCATGAAATTTGTACTGCAGACCTCAAAATCAAACTCATTAATCTCAAAGAAGAAATCCACAGATGAAGAAAAAGAAAATTCCAATATACTTGTAACTGATAAAATTTATTGGAGTCAGATCAGACCATTAACTTTTAACCCTCCTTGTTATACCAAACGTAGTAAACAAAGCTGAGGCTAGAGACTTAATTACTATCACTCACTTCTTATAACAAGCCACTGCCCTGTCCAGTTGTCCTAGAGCTTCATGGATTTGACCCATCAACTTGTGAGCAGGGGCATACTGCTCCTTGACCGTGAGGTAGAGAGCACAATACCTTCAAATATAAATAATATATTTGTGATGATAATTATCCATCTAGATGAGATAAAACTGAAATTCATTTAAATTCATTGCTAAATTACTTTAATGATGATTGTAAATAAATATTTCCATTTCTAAAATCAGTGATCATTAATAGATCTATTCTGCTGCATTTTTTTTTCACAATTGAATTTTATAAGGTTGCAATACATAGCAATGGGTACAGACAAAGATAATATGCTGAAATCAGCTTATCTACTAACACAGACATGGTTTGGGGCTTTAAAAAAAAGGCCCTAAGAAAAAAGTTCAAAGAAATGATTCAGTAGCCTTATGACTAAAGGTCTAGGGCCACCACTTAAGGCAGAAAACTGCCAAAAAAAGGATATATCCAATTTAAATTAACAATTAAAAAATCATGTCTACCCTACTATCAGTGCCAATCAATAGTTACATATTCTATGTGAACCAATTCATATGAAAAAAATGGCTGTAACCTCACCTCTTTGCCATCTCATATTCCTTTACTTCATAATACTGCCTGGCAATTATCAAACCTCTGGAGTTTCTCTGGAATAGAAAGAAAGTTGCTGAATAAGTGACATTAGATATGTAACTCAGCACTATACTGACCTCAAATTTATATGTTTAAGCCAATAATCATTTAAATTAGATACAAGTATAATTTGACAAAAGAAGTAAACAAACCTGCCCACAGGGCAACAAAACGGGCAACAAAACTATCTTCTTTTAAGGTAAAGAAGAAAAAAAAAGACGATAAGTCTTTTATGAGAATATTTCCCATAATGTCATTTACAGGATAATGAAAAAATTCAAGTTCAAAAGTGAAAGTTCGATGTTTTTTTTCTAAATTTTCTGGCATGCAGCTGCATATATATAAATCCAAATATGAAGGTGAACTGAAAAATAAGTCACATAAAAATGTGTTAAAATCCAATGTATGACTCTGTTGGCCAACGCAACAAACGGCAGAGTCCTTACTACTGATTGACTGTGAATTTAACAATGGCCAATGTGTCTCCGAGTACGAGATGAAACCTCAAGAACAAAGACATTTGACCTAAACGACAGTTCTGCAATACCATCCCAGTACCATAAACAAATAGGTGTGACGCCCCCTTTACTTTCAGCTCACTACAAATGAGAGGACAGTATTTACATAACGCCGGTAACTGACATTTATTCATTTAAGTTAGTTCATTTCAAGATGGCGACTTACACGGGGTCAAATGAACAAAAAAGAAAGTCCGTCAAACTTACCTCCTTTTCGGTTTTCAGCTTACTGAGTATCATGGAAACATTCTTGTCGACGTGGCTTTTTGTCTGGTAAACAGACATTATGGTGATATTCCGATAAACGTGAAAGTCTTCTATATGATCGCAAAATTTCCCCGCTTGCGCACTCCAACGAGCGCCATGGGTATCGTAAACTGGTACAACGACAGTGTCTAAAATATTTTTTCTATTAATAGCATATTATTTCCCAATATTCTTTACAATATTTTTGATATCATTTCATAGAAAATGTATCGTTTGCAACTCTTTAAAAAAATCCACTGTCCTTTTTATAACAACTAGCTTACGTGGGTACTTGCTCAAACTCCATTCCCAGCGACTTATAAGAGATCATTTTTTATTGGACAATGCATTTAGGTTATTCTGATTTCTGTAACCGACTCTTTGTTATTTAAAGTTATTTTGCAAAACAATATTTTAATTATTTGATTTTGGGACGATTTTAATGAATGCACATTCTAAATAAAGTTATTATTTAGCCAGGTACACATGAAATTTAATAATTTCCTTCTTGTCTGTTAACGGACGATCAACCAATAAGATTCACTGTTAAATTCCATTGATAGCAAATTTGGCACCCCTAGATGAGCCGCTGACAGAACGGCAGGAAGATGTGGATTATTAAAAGCATTTTGTGCAACTCCCCTATATACTAGCTTTAGGGTAAGTAGTAAACTAACTGTTGTAAAAATGGGTTGTGACACAGAGGCATCTCTACATTTCCAATGCAAAGGGACCGGCAAACAGATTGTTAATATTACTAGTATTGTGATTCGTGGAAGGTGAAGTCACGACGATCACCGAAATTTGGCGATGTTAAATTTAGATTATGAAAAAAGTTTGGCATGTCCAACATGATTCTGAAAAATGTGAAGTACTGGCAGCGTAATTCCATTGTCGTGTATGGTCTTGCATTGCATCTTGAAGGCTAGATGACTGTTACCTAATGTATTTTTAATGAAAATTAAGATCGGCATGTTACTTTGTTCTACGAACTTTGCATAAGTTACTAGACCAATCTACCGGGCATTTACTGGGTGAAAAATTAATTAATTAAACGTTAATAATAACATTTGCTGTTCCTGATATGCTTTTGTGTGTCATGCACATATGAATCCAAGGTAAGAATAATTAGTCCACATCTTTGAATTTTCCTTTTAGCAGTCTGTGACTGTTGTGGTCCACTGTGCCTTAAAATCACAAACCAGCAAGGTGCCAACCTGCTTTAAATGAATAGATAAAATAATTTTATTGTTGTCAATGCCTTATTTCAATATACATGTATACTACAGTGCTAACTTCACTGTGTATGTGCTGAGGAGCAAATAAACCAACTTTTAAACACAGCTTATGAAATTCTTCAAAGAAAGTGAGATATTTCACCACAATCATTTCTATCATAATCCTGGACATTTTTTGTGTAGATCAAAAGAGCTGTCAAGGAGGAGGAGGATAAGTGTAGCAGGAGGAGCGACCGTCATTTTCCATGGCAGGTGTTAGCATGGAGATTGATCCTCCGACCAGCAGCAGTAGCAGTAACAGTAATTCCAACGAGTCCAACAACCCCGGAGGAGTGGGTGGTACCTTGAAGAGATCCAGTAGTGCTCCCATGATCAACCTGCTGAATGCCCTCCCTCCTGTGCCCCCGGCAAGCCCTACGTCACACATGAAGTAAGTTGACGTCATTATTAGTTTTACTGATTCTTAATATTTTTATGGACAAATAATACTTGTCACCTATAGCCATCACCTATATCTGTTGTCAGCATTGTTGCCATTAAAGTTGGGACAGTTGGACATTCAGTTGAGACTATATGTTTACTTTATTTCCTTCAAATTTGCTGCACTAGATTCAGTTACAAATTTTTTTCCCACAGTAACAGCTAAGGAATAGAATCATTTCCATTGAGACCTCAGTATTTTTCTATATTCTTAACTGTCCAAATTTTTTTTCGAATATCACTGGTGAAGTTCTTTAACCACTGTTGTCAATTACCTTGATATGAAAATATACCTGTATATAAATATTTTGTTATAAATATTATAAGCAGCAATGTATCATTTCAGTAGAGCAACATTTAGGCCAATAGAAAGTGGAAGAGTAAGAAGATTTAGCACCAGTAGCAGTGTGCTGCCCCACTCTTCTGTAAGTTGTTGTTATTATTATTATTTATTTGTGCTGAAATTCATATATATAAATAATGCATAACTTTCAATAGACTCTTACTTGAATTATCATTTATCTTGATCACTTCCTTTAGAATGAAATTTCTCTTTGGCATAAACTGTTGTTGACACGAATGTTGCTTATGTCAAATTTTCAATTAACTGAAACCTGACTTTTGTCAAGACAACTTCTTAGTGAAGGTCATAGGCAGTGGCTGAAATCATTCTTATGCCCTTTAATTTTATGTCAGGAGGAATGGTTGAAATGATTGTCTAACTGTTTTTTGTGTTCTTTTTCAGCCTCCCATGAAAATTCCCTCAAGGCTTCATCAAATCAAACATGAAGAAAGCATCGACATGATTAACAGGGAAGCTGCACATGAAAGGTGGGTGTTGTTCATATAAAATGTATCGTTTTGACATTAATTCTGCATAGAATGGGATGTAGAGAGATGAATATGAATTTTGAACAGGACCACTAAATTCAAAATTTGACCTAGAAAACATGTTTTCAAACTTAAGCTGAGCATTAAGGAGAAGTACCCAAAAGAAACTTAAATGTCATCATTAATATGCCCCTCGTGCTTTTTGAGGAATGCATGCAGTCACTGTAATCGTCTTAAATGCCTGACACACCTCCATGAGTTGCTAGGGGGTAATTAACTAAGTTACAAAGTTACTAGCTACCCAAGGAGGCATGTCAGACAATTAAGCTGATTGCACTAAATGTACTTTATGAGGAATCCCCCAGCAGAGTTAGAACCATCCATCTGGTTCGATTGTTTGAATCTGAACGTGGTCTTAGACCCCATTCCCATAGATATTAAGATCAATCTATCCCCCTGGGGAGTCTCACTAGATTGGTGTCAGCTTAACAGGCTTAAATGTCTGTCCCGCCTACTAAAAGCTGTAAGGGGGTAATTAACTATGGTGGGCGCTCGTCTGACAGCAATTTAGCATGAACCCCCAGGGAGTTAGGTCGATCCGGATGGATCGATCTTAATCTCTGGGAATGCAGTCTTAGGATCATCTCAGAGGTGGTAACCACAGCTGCATGATACAGCAAAACCTGTGTTAGACCTTCATAGGCACGACTTGGATATGGTTTGACACAAAAGGGATTCATATAGTAAGCAGTTTAATGACAATCAAATTGTCCGTGTTTCAGAGATGTGCAAGCTGCAATGCAGATGTCACAGTCTTGGGAGGAGTTGTCTTTGGTAAGTTTGCTGGCTCAAGTGTTTCTAAATATATTTTAAAAACAATCACAATTTTGTAATTAAATTTTGACAATATAGAAATCTTTTACATGCAATTCTTTGGGTTCACTTTAGATGGTCAAATTTTGTGTAGTCATAAAGGTAAGATGGCTTGGCCTGATCAGATATGATTAGCAATAAGAAAAATTTAAGATAAATTTTCTTTTTCTATAAGCAAATGGTCTTTAGCATAATTTGTTCATATGCTGGGGCGGGTTTTGATCCCTCTGAGATTGACATATTGATCTTTTTCTAAATATATATTTATGCAACTTGTGTCAGACAAAATTCTTTGTCCTCATAGTTTTATTAACTATTCATATATTGCTTACTTCCGTTGATTGGTGGAGTTAATGGCTCGTGGTAAAATAGGGTGGAAGAAACATTTATTGAATATTTTTTACAGGAGTTTCTTTTTTTGACCAGTTTTCATTACAGTAACTGTAATTGGTCACATTTTTCCTGATGTTAATTCAGAAATGATGTGATGTTTTTGGTGTATTTCCAGGATGAACAAATGGCCAGTGAAACACCCGCAAGACGTCCCCGCTCCTTCAGCGAAACTCTCCACATTTTTACTTCCCCTTTATCGTACCCCAGCTCGCCATCTCCAACTAGAGTTGGAAAGGTCAGGAGCTTAATATGCTCTACTTAGTCTAGCTAACTGACAAAGTTCGAAAAATTAAACAGTAAATGCAGAAGTAGAACGCCATGTCAGTCAAACTAGGAGCATAATTTTATGCAGTTCTGGTATTTTTTCAATTATTTATTTGCAAAATGTATACCCTCAATATTGAAGTGGTGATGGCTGCAAATAAACCCAACTTAAAAGATTAACTATCAGAACTTCCTCTGTTCTTAATTGTCAGTTAAACAGTAGATCTAATCATTATGAGTTGTAAAATGTTGGTGACTTAAATACCATCTATTATATCTATCTGTGGTGTGTTATGAGAAGTTTTGCCATCTGTTCCAGCAATGTTTCTCGCCTTCCACGCAGTCTGCTCACAAAGGCTCTGCACTCCACAGTCCAAACCCAAGTCCAACACGGAAGTTCAGGTATGGGATTGGTTTTGTTTTCAGACTTTTCTTGCGAAAGGGTACAGCATATTTCAGTTTGGTGCTTTCAAAAATGAGAAGTTGATTGATAAAGAATTTATTTTCAAAGCCACTAAGGATAAGTGAAGGACCAGTTAAGAGAAAGAAATTTAGATGAAGTTTTGGTCTGAAGTTCTTTTTTGAAACTGGTCTGAGATAAGCAAGAAGGAAAGCTCTCTGATTCACAAAGAAATGAATAACAATATTACATTGATTTCTGCTTTTGTTACACCATGTAATAATGAGACTGAAGAAAATATTTTAAATTGACTCTTGTTTCAATTGCATGTGTCTTGCAGCGGTACGAGAAGAAGCCTGAGTCCAATAGTACCGGGGATAATACGACCTAGCATCCTTGGAGCCAAGAGGAAATGTAGGTCTTTACCACAACTGATAGCAAACAAGCTTTGTAGCTATGTCAGATAGCTATTAATGTACTTTACTGGTCTTGGATTTAATATGAGTGCTTTTGTAAAAGTTTTGTTAATTTGTTTTCTTATTTTTATTTATTTATTTATTTATTCATTCAGAGGACGGTGACTTTCTGTATATATTATGAAAGCACGTGTCTGTCTCTTTTGTCCTTGTTGTTGTCAAACACACGCTAATTTGCTTCATAATTTATTATTACTATTATCATTATTATTATAACCTTGGTATCCTGGTTCTTTCAGTTGACCCAGATGAGCAGGATGCGGCCATGTCTCCCCCCAAGAAGTCCTGTATGGGGACAGGAGAGAGGGCAACACACCCGCTTCTGTATAGGTGACAAACATTCATCTTTTTTTTTTATCGTTAAGTTTACAAAACAAAAAGTAAAATTGATTTTTGAAATGATTTGTAAAAATTTTACATGACTAGCAGATAAGGGCTAACCACACATGCACGTCATTATCTGTGAAAGGGTGAATTGGAGGTGAGATAGTTTCAAGATGAAACGGGTTCATATAGCCCAGGCATAAATTGTAAAGCTTGGAAGCTTGGCTTTTTTCATCTACTTAGGATGTCTGGCTGTGAACCCACTATTCAACTTTACCTTACATCTAATCATTACATTTCCACATTCAGAGTCTCCAGACAGGAGGACAGCTCCCACTGCGGCAGTCAGCAGCAGATGCCGAACTCGAGTCACCTTCAACTCTCCAGTGATTCCACTGGCCATCACCATCTAAATCACCCTGCGGGGCCCCACCATCTTAATCACCCCTCACAGCCCCATCAGCTAAGTCACAGCCAACATTCGAGCTTCACGTCAACCTCCTCGAATTTCACATTCAAACCGGTGCCCATGCAGCATGATCACACTGCCACGGATTCCGAGGCCTCCGATATTACGGAAAATACGGACACCAGTGAAAATACGGAAAGCTCAATGTCGTCTTCAGCAAGAAGTTCCTCTAGTCCACTCTTGTTTGGGTTTGCACCGGTAAAGCAGACTCAAGTATGAATGTTAATGTTTAAAATATGAGATTTGTTTCTTCTTATTTTTCTGGAGTGATTGTAATCAGCCAGTATTTGATTACAGAATTTTTGATGCCCATCTGGCCTTGGGTTCCAGTGCTTATTTAATTTAAGGTGAGTGCTACAGTCGTTAAACAGGCAATCTACAGTTTAGGAATTGTAGTGTTTATTTTGTGGAGGAGGAATGCATTATGTTGAAGGGGCAAACAAGTTAAAGTGTGGAGATGCATACAATTTATTGTGAGGTGTTTCTACAAAGAGACAACCTGATAGAAGTACTGTTGAAGATGTAAGTCGGAAGCTTTATCAGTATATTTTGTGTCTCTTACTTGGCAGTTGAAAAATGTGGGTTGTTATATATAACAATACAGTAGTAAAACTCTAAAGATGGATGGAGATAATATCCATGGCCTGTTCTTTATGTTTAATTGGTATTATGAAAGGGACTGCAGGATTATTTGACTGATTTTGATAACGAAGACAGAGATTGAAATGTGGGGAAAAAAGCAGATTTTTGTATCAAAGATGTATTTCTACAATTACTTCGGTAGTCTAAAGTGAAAGGCTATTTTACTTGCATCTGGTCTTTTAAGGCTTGAATAATCTAAATCTTGCTAACATTACCAGACAGGCATAGTCGTGGGCTACAATGATGGAGTGAGTTCTGGTAAGAAAAATGTGGCATGATTTAGGAGTTTGTTTCTTTTCATTTATACGAACATGAAATCTCAAAACTATTATACACCTTTACAGTATATAAAGGTCCTATTTGATAACATTTCCCATGTGGTATCAGGTAGAAGGCTTAAATGATTGGGCATTTTTTTGATGAATCTTATTTTAACTCTGGGCATTGCTGATTTATGGAATAACCAGGCACAGTGTATTAATGTTATCAGGCCTTGGCATTTTATATTAAAAAATTGACTAGTTCTCAAAACAGGAATTATTTTATGTGCAGATACTTTTCAAATTTGAGTGTTTTCACCAATCACTTAGTTTTGCCTTTTGTAAATTGGACTACAACATTTTATTTTCATCCTTAGTTTCATTCTGTGTATAACTACATGGCTTGTGGAGAGTTTCTTTCTCTCTCTCCTATGTCCCACAACTGGAGTTCAAGTGTCACCATAGATTGTTTTGAATCACAATTTTTTTTTTTTTAATGTCGGAGAAATTATTTTTATCTGGCAGTTTTTCAGAAACTTTTTTAAGTAAAAAAACATACAAACAGATACAGGTAATCTGTGGGTCTTTTGATGTTGCAAGCCTTTGGTCCCCAAATTTACTACTTCTCAAAATGCCAACTCCTACTAATGTCCACTTTGATATTAACAGTACAAAGAAAAAAAATTGGAATCCATATTTTTAACCGAGAAGTAAAATTAGGGTGTGTATAGATAGAACAGTTTACAGTATTTACTGAAACAGCTGGGATTTGCTGTTAGTCAAGATGAAGTATCACGTATTGGATTGGGAGCCTGTACAGAACGAGTTTTTTTTTCTCTCCTTTTAGTTCAGATGCTAACTCATGGATGGTCATACGTATAACAAAGTGCAAATAGTGTATAACATGTTATAGGGATCCCTTGTAGAACAAGAGGTCAGTCTTCAAACTGCTGGTTCGGTTTGTACATATTCTATAAATATTTATGTGATCTGTTTGTCTGTCTGCGACATGTTTTTATTATTGTCAGGTCTTGTTTTTGTTTTAGCTGTTAAACCTTTATGCATGTTTATTATTAGTATTATTATTATTATTATTACTCTTAAATTTATGTCATACTGCATCACGTAATAAGGAGCAAAGTTGTATATGCATTTACCCCAGTATCTTACTCTTATGTACTACCTTAGTGTTGTATGTAGATAAATAACTACAGTTATTTGTGTTTAGCATTTAATGTATTATAATGAAATACTGAGGTTGAACAGAGTAAAAGAAATTACATTTATGGAAAATGATTCAAATTAAA